AAATGTTAGCCCTTATTTTATATGTATAGTATCCAAGTAAATTAGCAAGCCTTCGTCATAGTAATTGGAAAAAAATGATTAAAGCTTGAGCAATGAAAAAAATGATTAAAGCTTGAGCAATGAAAAAGATGATCATTTACCTGATAAACATAGTTTTTATTTAGCAACTTTTCTTTTTTTTGTGTGTGTGTATTTCTTTTTTTGTAGAGATGGGATTTCACCTTGTTGCTCAGGCTAGTCTTAAACTCCTGGGCTCAACAGATCCAACCACCTAGGCCTCCCAAAGTGCTAGGATTACAGGCATGTCCAGCCTATTTGGGAACCTTTTCCATACAACCAGTCAAATTCCAGACAAAGCTGGTCAGATTCCACTTACAAAAGGGAATGCTCATTTTTTATTGATCCATTGATATTCAGTTTTCCTTTGTTTTCAACAATAAAAGGACAGCATGGAAGACTATATTGTCAGTACCCTAATTTTAGAAATTGATGAGGTATATCATTTTCATCTGCTCACATAAACTGGCATAACTTTTTACCACAGGTGGCCGTTTCTGAAATGAAAGTTACAGCTAATCAAACACTTAGCCCCACATGCCTTGGTGATTTTAATGATATGATTTGTTGCTATGAGACAAAAACATGTTGTGCGGGAAATAATCTGTTAGAAATCATATGACCTTGATTCAAAGGCTTTTGATTAACAGCACTAACATCCGCTTTCTGGAAAAGAAATAAACCCTGTGATTAGAGCTTGGTAGTCCTTTTAAAGCAAATAAAACAGTATTAGCCATTCATTAATGGATATAGGAAGCAAAAATGGCTTCAAACATTAAAAACTTCCCAAGATACTTTCAGCTCTTTCCTCTTAAACGCTTTTAAGGCCACTGGCAAAGTTTCTCCTCTTTTACTTTGTCTTTCTCCTTCCTACTTCTGGAGGGAGACACCAGTTAAACCAAAAAACCCCCAAAACAGATGGACAGCAGAAGAGAATTAAGATAGTCTAGAGCAGTGGTCCCCAACCTTTTTGGCACCAGGGACCAGTTTCATGGAAGACAATTTTTCCACGGACTGGGGAGGGGGATGGTTTGGGGACGATTCAAGTGCATTACATTTATTGTGTACTTTATTTCTATTATTGTTACATTGTAATATATAATGAAATAATTATACAACTCATCATAATGTAGAATCAGTGGGAGCCCTCAGCTTGTTTTCCAGCAGCTAGATCTGGGGGCGATGGAAGACAGTGACAGATCATCAGGCCTTGGATTCTCATAAGGAGCATGCAGCCTAGATCCCTCATGTGCGCAGTTCACAACAGGGTCTGCGCTCCTATGAGAATCTAATGCCGCTGCCGATCTGACAGGGGGCAGAGCTCAGGTGGTAATGCAAGTGGTGGGGAGCGGCTGTAAATACAGACAGAGCTTCACTTGCTCACCCATTGCTCACCTCCCACTGTGTGGCCTGGTTCCTAACAGGCAACAGACTGATACCAGCCTGTGGCCTGGGAGTTGGGGGCTCCTAGTATAGGAGACCCGTGCCCTAGAAAGTATTAATAGATTGTGCAGTCCTAAATGGCTTCTCTTTTTCTGTAAGTCGGCTTTGTAACTATTGAGCCTTCGTTCATTCATCTATTGAGCGTCCCCTGGGTGCCGGTGCTATCCTTGGAGACATGGTAGCAAGAGGACACAGTGTATGTTTTCACAGAGCTTATGTTCTAGTAGGGAAGGCAGGCACGAAGTTGACAGGTAAAAGTCATGCTTACTTATGCAAACCCATGATGGGAACTATGAAGGAAGCAAAATAGGGAATGGGATAAAGTAACTGGGCGAGGAGGCAGGCCTCTTTGGACAGGTGATATTTGGGCTGAGTTCTGAATGGCAAGAAGTCAGTCTGAAAATCTAGGGCAAAAACATTGTGGACAAAGAGGGTGGCAAACTCAGGATCCCAAAGGAGAGGACAAGTTTGGGATATTCAAGATGAAGCCAGAGCTTACTGGGCCAGTGAGAGTGTCGTGGGAGGCAAGATCTATAGGGGCTGGAACCTGATCAAGCAGGGTAGATTGTAAGTGCAGTCCACCAAGACAGTTCTATCTACAGCTGGGTTTGTAAAGGGTCTGCTCACACAAGGCTCATCAAAAAGCAGGGCTGGCCCCTACCTGGGGGCCTGATAGCAGTGGCATTTTTTGCTTTTTTTTTTTTTTTGAGATGGAATCTCGTCCTGTTGCCCAGGCTGGAGTGCCGTGGTGCCATCTCGGCTCACTGCAAGCTCTGCCTCCGGGGTTCACGCCATTCTCCTGCCTCAGCCTCCTGAGTAGCTGGGACTACAGGCGCCCACCACCACGCCCGGCTGATTTTTTGTATTTTTAGTAGAGACAGGGTTTCACCGTGTTAGCCAGAATGGTCTTGATCTCCTGACCTTGTGATCCGCCCGCCTCAGCCTCCCAAAGTGCTGGGATTATAGGTGTGAGCCACCGCGCCTGGCCGTTTTTTGCTATTTTTTAAACTGAGGGAAAGGAGCAGTGGTGACCTGCCCTGTTGCCCTGAAACTGCAACTGGTGATCTGGACCCCTTGGAATATATCCGCCCTGCCCTAAGAAGGCTGCCAAGGTGAAGCCTGTGCAGTAGACCTTGTCCTAGACCATAGGAGTCTCTGTGGGCCTGTCTTCCATTCTGAGAGCAGTCCCTTCAAGTCCTGGTCTCCTTTGTCATCCAGGTGCAGGGATAGACCTACGTGGATTCGTTTCTCCTCCTCCCCCTCTTTAAACCCCTACTACTTGTCATGACCAGGCCTAAGCAATATCAGGGCAAGGGTCACGGGGTCCTGCCAGGAGGCAGTCTGGGTTGGAGGGGCATGGTCACTTTTGCCAGAAGCAGCATGATCGGAAGGACCCAGGTGGTGTCATGGGTCAAAGGAGACAATAATAGATTGAGTCCAGGGAATCTGACCACACTTGAGAGACTAGCTTGGGCACGTCGCCAGGTCACCCAAACAGTTTCCTGAGTCTAGGCAATGAGAACCTGGAGGAGGCCACACTAGTGAACGTACACATTATTTGTCTTTTGTTCTGTACTTGAGGCCATCATTCCTCTGAATGTCCCTTTGAAAATGTAGATGGCTCCTGACTGCTTTACCAAACTAAGAATACAGTTCTTTTTTTTTTGTTTTTGAGACGGAGTCTTGCCCTTTTGCCCAGGTCGGAATGCAATGGCACAATCTCAGCTCACTGCAGCCTCCATCTCCCAAGTTCAAGGGATTCTCCTGCCTCAGCCTCCCAAGTAGCTCGGGTTACAGGTGTGTGCCATGACACCCAGCTAATTTTTGTATTTTTAGTAGAGATGGGGTTTCACCATGATGGCCAGGCTGGTCTCGAACTCCTGAACTCAGGTGATCCGTCCACCTCGGCCACCTGAAGTGCTGGGATTACAGGTGTGAGCCACCGTGCCTGGCCTTAAGAATCAATTCTTAGCCACATTCTCACCCTTCCCATTTTGATTTCAACCTACCAGTCACTTTTTTGTTTACTTGCCAGTTTTATTTTGCTGTACATCCCTATATGTATCCTATCTACATGGCAGGCAAACTTGATTATTACTTTTATAATCAGCAAAAGAATTTTAAGATCAATGAGGGTTAATCTTAAAAGAATCAAAAGAATTTTAAGATCAATGAGGGTTTTTTAAAAAAATAAACAAAACCACTTCCTTCTTGTCCTAACTAGTTATGCCTCCTCCTGGATCGTCTTATGCTTATGTGGGTAGCAGGGGCAGTGCTTGGATCACTAGGAGGTGCTCATTGTTCATCTTGCAGGGCTACCATTTGGCTCTTTTCAGTCCTCTTGCATCTCTCACATTTCCCAACACCTTACCCTCTTTGGGCCTGGGCCATTCCCTCAGAGCTCTTCCCTCTCACCCTTACTTGGTTCCCTGCATCTCTCCTCTGGGCTTTTAGTTCTATTCTTTTGCCTAGTCAGGCAGGCTGCCCTTCCCTGGGGACCCTGCTGCTCCTGGTCCTGGCTGGGACCCACTTTTTCCCAGGTTGCACATTCACATAAGTCACTGCCAGCTCTGGCTTTGCTCTGAGCCCAGCCCTCTTCAAACAGCCCTGGCTCCAATTGCAGGTAGGCTCTAGCAGGAGAGGACCAAGGAAGTTGGAGGATGTTGCCAATGGGTTGGCTAGTTCCCAGGAGGATGAGCGAAGTTTTCATTCATTTACCTCTTCTTAAGAGGGAGTGGGGGCCGGGCGCGGTGGCTCAAGCCTGTAATCCCAGCACTTTGGGAGGCCGAGATGGGCGGATCATGAGGTCAGGAGATCGAGACCATCCTGGCTAACACAAAAAATACAAAAAACTAGCCGGGCGAGGTGGCGAGCGCCTGTAGTCCCAGCTACTCGGGAAGCTGAGGCAGGAGAATGGCGTGAACCCGGGAGGCGGAGCTTGCAGTGAGCCGAGATCGCACCACTGCACTCCAGCCTGGGCGACAGAGCGAGACTCCGTCTCAAAAAAAAAAAAAAGAGGGAGTGGGGTGTGTGTGTGTGGGCACATGCACGTGTGTGTCCACTTGGGGGAGGAAAGGACAGAGCAGTGATTCTATATCTATCATACAGATAATTTTTCCTAGCCTTGGATTTGGGACATGAAGGAAATTATGGTAGGAATGGTGGTGTGAAAGAGGTTCTTCATGGTTGGATTTTCCTAAGAATCTTACGAAAAGAGGAGCCTGTGTAGAGTTTTTTGAACAGTTTTTTGAGCTTTCCAGTTAGAATACCAAACTGGTGATTTCACATATGTTTTTATTTAGGACAAAAAAAAGTGAATTTTGTGAAAACAGTCAAGTAATCAACAACAGAGAAATATGGCAAACATCGCAGAGGTGGTAACAGATGTCTGGACCCCTCAGCTGGTATCAAGACACAAATGAGCATGGAGCTTACGACTCCTTTCACACGAAGGAGCTAGAGTTGATGTTCCCTGTTCTCTTTGTCGTCTTCATCTACAGATGGCCATGACTACCCTCGAGCAGCCTACCAGCAAGTGATCCAGCCGGCTCTGCCTGGGCAGCCGCTGCCTGGAGCCAGTGTGAGAGGCCTGCACCCTGTGCAGAAGGTTATCCTGAATTATCCCAGCCCCTGGGACCAAGAAGAGAGGCCCGCACAGAGGGACTGCTCCTTTCTGGGGCTTCCAAGGCACCAGTAAGTATGACAGGCCCAATCTTCAGGCATTTTTTACATGGAAAGGAATTATGCCAATGCAAGGAAGATGTAACAGAATTCTCTATAGGTTTGCTAATCCACGTTAGTGAGCAAGTCACACAGTGGAACGCCCAATATAGACTTTTCAGGTCAGGAGGAAATGGAAGCTGATTGACAAGGATCTCTATCAGACACAGAGAGCCACTAGTGACTAGTCGAAATTCTGTTGAAGGAAAGGTTCTTCAGATGTTCTCCAAGTCACACCCCTTTCTTTTATTTTCAGATCATCTGAATTTTTAATCCACAAAATAGATTTTTGTTTTTACTATGACTGACTTCCACTGTAGCCAGTTCTTTATATATCTAGTGTCTATTCCTGTTTAAGCCTATTTCTTACTTTAAAATGTTAAATTCAATTAATTTTTGGTCAAAATTTAAAATGACCTGTTCTTTTCTTTTTTTGAGACAGCGTCTTGCTCTGTCACCCAGGCTGGCGTGCAGTGGTGCAAACTTGACTCACTGCAACCTGTACCTTACAGGTTCAAGCGATCCTCCCACCTCAGCTTCCTAAGTAGCTGGGACTAGAAGCACGCGCCACCATGCCCAGCTAACTTTTGTATATTTTGTAGTGATGGGATCTCCTTATGTTGCCCAGCTGGACTTGAACTCCTGGGCTCAAGTGATCCACCCACCTTGGCCTTCCAAAGTGCTGGTATTACAGGCATGAGCCACTGCGCCTGGCTTATTATTTTCTTTTGTAATAAAAACATTCATACATGTTGAGTACCATTATTAGGTCTCTCCTATGCTGCTTTAGAAAAACAACTCTGTATTTTCATAATTTCAGTTGTCTAACTCTTCAATCTTTTTTTTTTTTTTTTTTGAGACGGAGCCTTGCTCTGTCGCCCAGGCTGGAATGCAGTGGCATGATCTTGGCTCACTGCAACCTCTGCCTCCTGGGTTCAAGCTATTCTCCTGCCTCAGCCTCCCAGGTAGCTGCATGCCACCACATCTGGCTAATTTTTGTATTTTTAGTAGAGATGAGATTTCACCATATTGGCCAGGCTAGTCTCGAACTCCTGACCTTGTGATCTGCCCGCCTAGGCCTCCCAAAGTGCTAGGATTGCAGGCGTGAGCCACCATGCCCTGCCTCTTTCATCATTTTTTCCCCTTATTCTCTTTGGATTTTCCTTTTCTCTTAATTTATGGATCTAAAATATATAGATAAAACTCATGTAAATGGAGCGTCCTGATTTATGACAATATTTGGAAGAAAGTAGATTAAATGTTTACTTTTGCTCAAAAACAACTTTTATATACCACTGTAAAACTAGATTCTGTTTTTACTGCATAGACTAAAATACGAAGTTACTATTAGAGTGGATTTTTCAGAAATACAGAAAGTGGTAATTAGTTTGAAAATTTCATTGAAAGAAAAAAAGTCCACTTTATTAACAATGGTGAAGAGGCACATATCTGCTTTCTCTTTTGCTCAGAAGCCCACAAACCCTCATATTTTCTTTCAAGACAGATCCCTTTTTTCTCTTTTTCTTTTGAGACAGAATCTGGCCCTGTCACTCAGGGTGGAGTGCAGTGGTGCGATCTCGACTCATTGAAACCTCTGCCTCCGGTGCTCAAGCCATCTTCCAACCTCAGCCTCCCAAGAGTAGCTGGAACTACAGGTGCCTGCTACCATACCCAGCTAATTTTTTTTATTTTTTGTAGAGAAGGGGTCTCACTTTGTTGCCCAGGCTGGTTTCAAACTCCTGGCCTCAAGTGATCCACCCACATCAGCCTCCCAAAGTGCTGGGATTACGGGTGTGAGCCACCGTGCCGGGCCAGATCCCTTATTTTTCTAAACCATAAATACATGGAGTTTAAACAATGAAATTAGGTAAAATGTGATTTTACAGCAGGATAGGCACTCTTACAGAAGAAATATCTAAAATTCCAGGGAAATAAATAAAACGTTAGCATCTTTATGAAATAAGTTTGGTGTTGAATAGGAAAGAGAATAGTAATTTTTAAAATAAACTTTTATTTTGAAACAATTTTAGACTTACAAAAGAGTTGCAAAGATAATATAGAGTAATTGGTTTTGTAGCATCAATTTAAGCCCGCTCTGGTCTTCTTGATCTATTTTATCATTTTAGGATAATGAAAAATAAGTTCAGGTAAAGGAGCTAGGCTGGGCATGGTGGCTCACACCTGTAATCCCAGCACTTTGGGAGGCAGAGGTGGGTGGATTGTTTGAGCCCAGGAATTTGAGACCAGCCTGGGCAACATAGCGAAAATCCATCTCTACAAAAAAATGCAAAAATTAGCCTGGTGTGGTGGCACATACCTGTGGTTCTAGCTACTCAGGAAGCTGAGGCAGAAGAATTGCCTGAACCCAAGAGATCAAGGCTGCAGTGAGCTGTGATTGTGCCACTGCACTCCAGCCTGGGTGACAGAGTGAGACTCTGTCTCAAAAACTAACAAACAAACAAAACATACATACACATACACACAAACCCATCCAACTGAGGCTGGGCATGGTGGCTCATGCCTGTAATCCCAGTACTTTGGGAGGCCAAGGCAGGAAGATCGCTTGAGGCCAGGAGTTCGTGACCAGCTTGGGCAACATGGTGAAACCCCATCTCTACCAAAATAATACAAAAATTAGCCAGGCGTGGTAGCTCATGCCTGTGGTCCCAGCTACTCAGGAGGCTAAGGTGGGAAAATCACCCAAGCCCAGGAGGCTGCAGTGAGCTGTGATTGAGCCTGGGTGACAGAGCAAGAACCTGTCCCCAAAAAAAAAAAAAAAAAAAAAAAAAAGAAAAGGCAAAGATGAGTTCTTACTATGTTGCCCAGGCTGGTCTTGAACTCCGAGGCTGTAGTGAGCCGAGATTGCGCCACTGCACTCCAGCCTGGCAACAGAGCAAGACTCCGTCTCAAATAAAAAAAAAAAAAAAAAAAAGAAGAGAAGCTAGCTAAGTCTCCTCTTACTGATAGTTTGAAAGAGAACTTTAATTCGGAAAGTTTACTCTGTCATTAATTTCCATGGTGTTGTTTTTATACAGAAGTTTTTGAATATTATCAAGGCTTTAACATTTCTTTATCATATAAGCAATCATCTTCTATAACAACTAAGCAACTTTTGAAAGTTTTTTTGGTATAAAATAATTTAATGCAAAATAACTGGAATGGGTTTTTCTTGGAGAAATAAAAAAAAGAAAAAGAGAAAAAAAAATGGAATGGGATCCCCCCATTAGATGAAAGCTTATGTTATAGAAATTATTTTCTCTATATTAATAAAAATATGAAATAAAAATAATCTTAAGCATTCATATTTTCAAAATATAGTACAGTTGAGATTCTGTGTAATTTTATTTCAAATCCTGTTACATAAGACTTTTAGAATTCCCGATTACTCTTTGGGTAAAAATATGAAAAGCATAAGCAACAATCTATAAAAACCGGGCGTATACATAGAGATTTTGTAGTCAAAACATTTTTTTAAAATTTATAATATGACACAATTTCAAACACACAACAAATAACAACATCCATGTTCCCACTACCCAGATTTTAAGAATGTTAACATATTGTCACATTTGCTTCAGAATTTTTTTAAAGAAATAAAACATTATAGAGACAGTTTTAGTCCTACCACCGGTTCACGCAACACCACAGAACAGGGCCACTAAAGAGCCTGCCTCCTCTGGCAGCCAGGAAGGTGGAGAATCAGAAAGCAACACCGCTGTGACCACTGCAATGGTTGGATCAGTTCTGTGCCAGATAGATCTCCACTGGCGAACAATGGATACCCATGCCCTGCCCTCGATGCTTGTGAAGCTGGTAACAGGACACTGGGAGGCTTTCTGGGGAAAACCCAGCACCTCATCACCGTGCTTACCAACAAAAACCACAGAAGCAGCAGAAGCGTGCTCTCCATTTCCTTCTGCCCTGCAAATCTCACACGAGGGCATCTGATTGTTCATCTCAGCAGAATGCTCGTGGGAATACTGGCAACCAAAATAATAAAGATGCTATCTAATATGGTAACAACTTCTTTAAAGGGTCTTCAAAATCAGATTTCCATTTATATGTCAACAGTACAAATACTTCTAAATCTACATGGCCCTCTTTACCTTTTGATACATAATTGAATGTTACCTATTATGAGCTAAAAGTCATGTCTTTTTATCTGAATGCCTATAACATCAACCATCTGTGTCACCTGTCATACTACTTTGTTTTGTTGGTGACCTTGTCTGCCCTGTGCATGAGACTTGTTTTTCCAATTAAACAAATCTTGAATAGAGAAATCAAATCCTGCTTCCCTCTTTGGAGTCAGAGCACAGGCCTTCACATGTGGCAGCCAGCTGAATTGCTTATTGACTAAAACTCCATGGAGCTCCCTTCTTCCTTCTGTCTCAGATAAGAAATAGAGGCAGAGGAGAGATAGCCCACTGAGATCTTCCCATAGTTCTAAAAGGCTTTCTGTCCCTGAAGGTTTGCCTTTGTAAAGAATGAAAATTGACTGTAAATGTATTCCTTTCTAGGGAACAGCTGCATCACCAGCCACCTAATAGAGCTGGCACTCCTGGGGAGTCCTTGGAGTGCCCTGCAGAGCTGAGACCACAGGTTCCCCAGCCTCCGTCCCCAGCTGCTGTGCCTAGACCTCCTAGCAACCCTCCAGCCAGAGGAACTCTAAAAACAAGCAATTTGCCAGAAGAATTGCGTAAGTTGTTTGCAACATTGTTCTCTCCTTCTTCTTGTGAGGTCTTGTACTTTGTGATGGCTGGATGATCACTCGTCCCTAATCTCAGATTTTTTTTTTTTTTTTTTTTTTTTTGAGACGGAGTCTCGCGCTGTCGCCCACTCCTGTCGCCTAGGCTGGAGTGCAGTGGTGTGATCATGGCTAACTGCAGCCTCAACCTCCTGGGCTCAGGTGATTCTCCCACCTCAGCCTCCTGAATAGCTGGGGTTACAGGTGCACACCACCACACCCAGCTAATTTGCTTATACTTTTACTAGAGACGGGGTTTTGCCATGTTGCCCAGGCTGGTCTCGAACTGCTGGACTCAAGCGATCCACCCGCCTTGGCCTCCCAAAGTGCTAGGATTACAGGTGTGAGCTACTGTACCTGGCCTCATAACCTCAGCTATTTCTTATATACACAGTAAAATAAAATGTACTTTTTTTGCTTTTTGCTTAAAAAGTAACCAGCATTTTGTATGAATGTTTTTAGTGACTCTGACACCACTAGTAACGCTCAAAAACTGCTTACCTCTAGATTTCCTTAAGCACATACTCCAAAAACAAATAACCCCAATGCCTTTTCCCTCTTCTAAATGATGCTTTTGAGTGGACTTGTCCCTGGGTAAATTGATTGGATGTCCATGTGGTATTGGACAGGGACCCAGCCTCTCACCATAAGTTAGCAGCAGCCATCAGGAACGAGGTCATTTCCTGTAGGAATGAGCAATCTTGTTTGGAAAAAACCGTCTCACATTCTCCATAGTGCATCACAACCAAATGCAAAGTAAGCCTTTTATTTAAAGAAACATTCGACTAAGCGTAAGGTGATGATTCTTTTTCCACATTTTGCTGCCAGAACCAGAAATGTTGAAATATCACCAAAATGTTCTCATATTAAGGTCAATCAGGACAGTAATTTCCAGAAATCTTAAGAAAACAGCCACTGTTTGTGAGATTATTATATGATGTGCTTGCTAGAGAAGCTCAGGTAATTCTAATATGCATTTTCCAAATCTGGGAACCTCTTTGAACCAAACCTGAAACAAAGCCTTTTGCATCTGCTAATTCCTTTTGGGGCATCTGTGCTGTTTAGTCATTGACAACTCTGAAAGATTTCTATGACAATGATTCATTGCTGTTTTCATTCAAAACATTTTATTTCTGAACATTTTCTTAAGATCGTAATCATTTTAATTTTGAGCATTTCTGGAGAACAGATGCTGCCCCGCATACGTTATAGTCCTGATATCAGTCTATAGATCATATATATCTTACCACAATCTATAAAGGAAGTCCTAAAATACGTAAGAATTGGGTGAATGTTAGGTGTTCAGAAGAAAATTGAGTGCCATCAATATATCTAGCTGCTTAAATGTATAATATGACCATTATACACACGTCCATTTGGAAGGTGTGTTTCAAAAAACCTCAGAGTAGATACAGATTCGTATTTTCTCTCCAGCCCCCCTTTCTTCTCCATCCTCTGCCCCAAGGGCTTCCTGAGATTTAACTGGTCCATTCCAGACTAAAAGCCAACACACAGAGATTATTCAGCTTTCACATTAAAATGCTAGTCAGACAATTTCCCTAAGACTTTAGCCTGAGAAAACACTGGTTCATCCTGACTGGGTTAAGCTTGTCCAAACGGTACTGTCTGCTGCTCTAAGCTGACCCAGAGATGAGTGACGGAGTCTGTGATGTTGGACTGCCCAGAGGCAGTGTCTCTCCTTCAAGCTGCTGAAGTTTTTTTTTTGTTTTTTTTTTTTAACTAACATTTCTGAGCTGTGCTTTGGTCTACTCCAAACTTCCTGGCCTTTCTCCAAAAGTGAGTGGATTGCGGGGAAGAAGGGAGCGGGGGAACCACTTTCTCACTCTCCTCCCACTTGCTCTTGTCAGAAGAGTGAGCTTTCAGGGCAGCGGAGAGCATCAGGAGATCAAAAGGAGACACTGCTGGGTGGCCCCTTAGCAAGTTTTAGCTTCTTCGCCTGCTGCGAGAGTATTCCTTGGGCACAGTGCCAAGTGTCTCTAAGAAACTAGGCGGTGCCTGATCTTAAGGACTCCGGGAGTCTGGGTGGTAGATTTCTTGTTAACGCCTCGCGGTTTTTCAGAAGCCCCCTTAGGCTTGTCTGAGCCTGCCAGTGCTCTCCTCTGTCGCTCTGATTTCCATTCACGCTGAGCAGTCTGCACTCCCTTGGACAGACCTGCTGGCATTTTGGGCCTGAGGAGCTGTGCCCTGAGGACAGCAACCCATACAATGCAGGCATAAGCTCTTAGAGCACCCCCAGCCCAAGGTTTCCCCTTATTATTCCAGAAGGACAAAAGATATTACATATAATGTAGAAGTTTGTTTAGAATAGAATAATTTGACCGGTTTCTAATAAATGTAAACATTTTCTCTTAGGGAAAGTCTTTATCACTTATTCGATGGACACAGCTATGGAGGTGGTGAAATTCGTGAACTTTTTGTTGGTAAATGGCTTCCAAACTGCAGTAAGTATTTTGTCCAAATAGATAACTGAACAGTTAGAGTGAGTACAATGGAGAGAAAAGCAGCAGAAGAAAAAGTGTAATAGCTTTTGGTGTTTTAAATGATATTATTTGATTTACGTGATTATGCATTGAATGTTTATAGATTTAGGTAATAATTATTTTCTAGATTTTAAACTATCTGAAGTCTCCAGCATTTTTTCCCTGTATGCTGTTTGAGTGACCCCACGTACCTCTGAACAGCAAGATCAGCGCTAATGCTGACCATATATGCAGCTAGCCCCTGGCCTGAAGGAAACGCCGGGCTCTTGCTGCACTTTGTACCTTTGTCCTTTCTCACCAATCATCCCCACTTTGGTTGAGCTTCTCATAATGCAGGAAGCTGCAGGCTTCACCATGGTCACCTGCTTATTTAACAAAGTCCTTTTGTTCTGCACTGGGTTATGAAGTTTGAAGTAGAACCCTACAGCCTGCATCCCCCACTGCACACAGCTGCTGTTTCCACACCTTGACACAGTGATGCTTCTGGATGGGCGATACTGGCCAGGTTTGGGGCTGGTCTAATCCAGTTCCAGGGGAGGCTGACCTAACCCAGCCCTGCAGGTCCACTGTGATCCTGGTCCCAGAAATCTCAGGAAACAGACGCTGCGCCTGTCGCCCTGCGGTCCCTTGACACAGTACAGCTTAAAGCCATGTAAATTTTTCTCTATGATAAATAAAATACCACACGATGCTACTCAGGGGACTGGCTTTCCTCAAACACTGAGATAACTTCTTTTCCTTTCCAGAGCCCTCTTCTAGGCCTCTTCTAGTGAATTCTAGAGAGTGGTGAAAAATTAACAGAAATATGAATATAAATGTCTATGGGTAAAGAGGGATACTTAGTAACTAAATATCCACTTTTAAAGTTATTTAATATTCTTTAACAGGAGTTTTTATTTGAAGTTTTCTTTATTCTATAAGATAATTTTTTTTTTTCTTTTTGAGACAGAGTCTCGAACTGTTGCCCGGGCTGGTGTGCAGTGGCGCAATCTTGGCTCACTGCAACCTCCGCCTCCCAGGTTCAGCCTCCCAAGTAGCTAGGATTACAGGTGCCCACCACCATGCCCAGTTAATTAAAAAAATTTTATTTTTATTTTTATTTTTAGTAGAGATGGGGTTTCACTATCTTGGCCAGGCTGATCTCAAACTCCTGACCTCATAATCTGCCCGGCTCGGCCTCCCAAAGTGCTGGGAATACAGGTGTGAGCCACCACACTCGGCCAAAACAATTTTTTAAAAAAATGAAAATGAAAGTGCTTTTTTTAAAAAAGCATACAACTTATACAATCCAACTCCATAATTATATAGAGACTAATATTTCCCTTACTAATTTCTGGTATAAGAAAGCACTGTAGTGGCCAAGTGTGGCTCATGCCTGTTATCCTAGCACTTTGGGAGGCCAAGGCGGGCAAATTGCCTGAGCTCAGGAGTTCGAGACAAGCCTAGGCAACATGGAGAAACCCCATCTCTACTAAAATACAAAATATGGCCAGGTGCAGTGGCTCACACCTGTAATACTAGCACTCTGTAAGGCTGAGGCAGGCAGATCACCTGAGGTCGGGAGTTCAAGACCAGCCTGGACAACATAGTGAAACCCTGTGTCTACAAAAAATACAAAAAAATTAGCCGAGTGTGGTGGCACACGCCTGTAGTCCCAGCTACTTGGGAGGCTGAGGAAGGAGAATTGCTTGAATCCTGGAGGTGAAGGTTGTAGTGAGCTGAGATCTTGTCACTGTATTCCAGCCTGGGTGACAGAGCAAGGCTCTGTCTCAAAAAAAAAAAAAAAGCTGGCATGCTGGTGTGCACCTGTAGTCCCAGCTACTTGGGAGGCTGAGGCACAAGAATTGCTTGAATCTGGGCAGGTGGAAGTTGCAGTGAGCCGGGATCACACCACTGCACTCCAATCCAGCCTGGGTGATAGAGCAAGACTCTGTCTCCAAAAAAAAATAGAAAAAAAGAAAGCACTGTGGCAACTGTGACATAAAATCAAATTACACTGGGTGCGGTGGTGTGCGCCTGTAGTCCCAGCTACTTGGGAGGCAGAGGTGTGAGGATCACTTGAGTCCAGGAGTTGGAGGCTGGCCTGGGCCATATAGCAAGACCAGGTCTGTGATATAAATAAATAAGAAGACATTAGGCCAGCATTTCAGAAAAGATATTACTTTTTGTCATTTCCAAAGACACATACTGATTGCCCCTGGAGAAGAGCTTAGGTTTTGTTTGTTTGTTTATCTTAGCAACCAGGGGCTGCTTAGGCAGAATTTAAATCTGTCCCTGACCCTCATCTCTATGTAGACTTGTGGTAGAAATCACAGAGCCCAGTCCTGGACAGCTAAGTTATTATGGAGACATCCAGATCCCCTTAGTGGAAAGAAACACTTAATGAGTAATTTAAGGAGAGTGTAATAAAGGGCCTATTACAAAGCTTTGGGTAGGTTTTAGAGAATCCAATTTTATTGGGGATAGTGCAGTATGCTGGCACTAGGAAAAGCAGGGAGTTGTTACTGCCCCTAGTTCTAAAGAGGCAAAGGAGGAATTCTCACTGGAACATGAAGAGGATGGCTATAGTAGTTTGCTAGGATTCCCATAAAGTACTACAGACTGGATGGCTTAAGTGTAGAAATTTATTTTTGCACAGTTCTGGAGGCTGGAAGTCCAAGATCAAAGTTTCAGCAGGGTTGATTTCATCCTGAGGCATTTCTCCTTGACTGGTAGCTGGCTGTCTTCTCCTTCTGTCCTCACATGGTCTGTCCTCTGTGTGGACACATGTCTGTGTTCTAACCGTGGACACCAGTCCTACTGGATTAGGGCCCACACATATCACCTCTTTTTACCCTAATTACTTCTCTAAAGGTCCTATCTCCAAATACAGTCACATTCTGAGGTACTGGGAGATAGGGCTTCAACATAGGAATTTTGGGAGCACAATTCAGCCCCTAATAGTAGCTGTGTGGAGGAATGATCATGACAGGAGCTATGAACTTTGGGAGAGACTTGGAGAAACAAATGGAAGATATCTAGCTCATTGCACTACCCAGGATGTCCACCTCAGTAGCTGGGAATAATTTAGAGTGCTTGAATAATAACAATAATCACCATTTTTTATTTATTTAATTTTTTGAGACGGGGTCTTGCTCTGTCACCCAGGCTGGGGTGCAGTGGCATGATCTCAGCTCACTGCAACCTCCGCCTCCCAGGCTCAAGCAATTCTTCTGCCCCAGCCTCCTGCGTAACTGGGATTACAGGGCCTGCCACCAAGCTCAGCTAATTTTTTTTTGTTTTTGTATTTTTAGTAGAGACAGGGTTTCACCATATTGGCCAGGCTGGTCTCATACTCCTAACCTCAAGTGATCTGCCTGCCTCAGCCTCCCAAAGTGCTGGGATTACAGGCGTGAGCCATCATGCCCGGCCAATTATCACCATTTATTGAGTGCTCATTTCCTGCCTGGCATTATGATAGGCCTTTTCCATGTTAACTCATTTAAGTCCTCACAACCACCCTAGGAAGTCAGTTTATTAACCACATATTACAAGTGAAGATAAAATTTAGCGAGTTCTAGTAACATTTCCAAAGTCATGCAGGTGGGAAGTGGCAAAGCCAAGATAGAACCCAAGCTGTCCATTTCTTCTCAACCCTAACACTATATTGCTTCTCTCCCATATAATATCAATGGATTAGCAACACAGTCACAGAAAACTACAAGAGCGTTCTCAAGAGTAGTCACTGGCCATCACACATTTGAAAACAGGAGTCATCTAAACCAAAATAACAGCCATTCCATTTTTCATGTAAAGACACATATTCTGAACTCTGTACTCTACGTATGTGATAGTTTGGCGTACACAGGGCATGGTCTCTTTCCGTAGGAAGCTTAGCATCAGGTTGAAAAGACACAGCAGACATAAATGAAACATGTCCTGAATAAAAGAATGTTATCATATGTGTTAATTGTCCAGTATCATTAGTGGTCACAATGGGGTAGAGTTAGGTAAAGTGAGGAAGAGGAGGAGATTGGCGTGTAGGAAGGATTCACAGAGCAGGGGGGTTTGTGCTCTGCTTTTAGGATACAGGGGACACCAGTGTGGGGAGTAAAGTAGACAGGATATGTGGGGAAAAGAGAGGCGAGGCTGGATCATGGATGGCACAGAAAGCCTGTTGAAGGGCTGGGACTTGACTTGATCAGTCCTAAACAGTGGAGTGACATTTATTTTTTATTTTTTATTTTTGAGACAGGGTCTTGTTCTTTTGCTCAGGCTGGAATGCAGTGGCATGGCCACAGCTCACTGCAGCCTCTACCTCCCATGCTTAACCCATCTTCCTGCCTCACCCTCCCGGGTAGCTGGGACTACAGGTTCATGTCACCATGTCCGGCTAATTTTTTGTATTTTTTGTAGAGATGGAGTCTCACCATATTTCCCAGGCTGGTCTCGAACTCTTGGGTTCAAGTGATCTGCCTGCCACAGCCTCTCAAGTGCTGGGAATACAGGCATGAGCCACCGTGCCTGGCCTGGAGTGACATTTAGGACAAGTAATCTGGGAGCAGTGCAGCTGAATCACATAACCCCTCCCCAGGGACACTCTCCCTGAGTCACCCATTCCAGTATATGATCCTTCTTCCCATCAAGAGCACCTCGTGAATACACACGTACACACACACACACACACACACACACACACACACACACACACGGCAGTATAAGCCTGAGCCCAAGAAGGGCCTTCTTATTTGGTTTCTTATAAAATAAAAAAGAACTGATCTTTCTCCTTTTAAAATATCCCTTCAAAAACTTGAACACTGATAGTAAATATCAGTCTTTTCAAGGCCTAAGAGTTCTACTTCTGACTTTCATCATAAACTTCTTCCCTACCATTTCAGTAATTGTTTTTGTGACTGTTCCCTGGCTCTGCTCCAAGTTTCATACAATCCTTTTGAAACATATAGATCGAAACTGGACATAATACCATAATAATGACCTCACTAATGCCAGTAAAGCACCACAATTGTATCTCAGTTACTTGTATGCCACACATCCATTAAAATGTTCCAGAATTATGTTTGCCTTTCAAATTTCTAAATTACAGATATATAATGTATGTATATTGCTGGCTTATATCCAACTTAGTGGTATACTGTGTCACTCAGATTTTTAAAAACCTGATTATTGTGTAGCCATAGATATATTTTGATGTGTATCAGAATATCCTAATTACGGACATAATATTAACTACTTAAATGCCTACTAATGTTGAAATAGGGAATATTTTCAGAAAATTATATTTTGTTTTTTAGACCTATGTGCTCCTCCTTGCAAAAAGCATTCGTTAAGTTTTGGAGCTTGAAATGTATCTAGTATCGTGTTTTCTTCTGCTCTGCATCTTGAGAGAACCTCTCAGTAAGGGCCAGCTCCCTCATCTTTTTCTTGCAGATTGACATATTTGAGGATAGAATCCGAGGCATTGATATCATTAAATGGATGGAGCGCTACCTTAGGGATGTAAGTACATTCCAAAAATCAGAGGTTGTTTTCTGGTGAGAAAGACAATGAGCTTACGAAGTTGTTTTATGAAAGAAACCCTGGCATACCCACCTAAGTCGGAAGCTGAGAAAGCCCCAACAAAGCCTCCCTTGTTGGAAGCTGTGCAAAGACTTGGAAAGGAAGGATGGGGTCGCCCTCTTGGACATGCACAGGCAGGAAATAACGGTCAAACCAGACACAGGTGGTTGATAACAATCAGAGGAAACAATCTTTTGACGAGAATAGGAAAGAAGGAAATGAAGGCGGAGAGTGGGGAGAGAGCAGCAGAATTCAATTTAATCTGAGGCCACCCCAAGTGTTTTGTAGAACTGGGCGGAAGAGGTTTCCCAGGCAGCCTCGCAGGCTGCACAGCACACCACCCCCGAGGTGCCCACGCGCAGCCCCGTGATTTGTTCTCCACTGACAGGATCTATACCGGCCACTGGGACACGTTGTGCTTTAACAAGATCGAAATTGATTGCTGCCAGCGTGTCCGTGTCGGCTGCTTCTTTCGGAGGGAGCTGGTGGGGGACGGGAGTCTCAGCAGGCTGGGGTTTTGCACTTTTCCTTTTGTCTGCAGCCTGACGTCTGCTTTGTGCTGAAGGGTCTGTTCCTACCGACTGTGCTAATGTGTACACGCAGAAGACAGGGCAGTCAAGAGTGCAGTGACGGGCAGCTCAGAACCAGCTGGGGGGAGGAAGGGTGCTTCTCACCGTTGGTGTCGCAGTGCCTTTTTGCCACGACGCAGACTCCCTCAGTGATTCGGGCTTTCATTAGAGGTTCATTAATGATGGTTGTGGACAATGGTAGGCAAAAGCACATCTCTTTGGGAGAGCCTCTCTCTGAACCATTTGCTCTGCATGTTCGAGGTGGGGCTGGGCTGGAGACGGAGGGAGAAGCAGAGACAAGAGTCTGCCTGAGTGGGGGCCAGTGCTTCTCTTTCTATGGAGGATGAGCCTGGCCCTCTGTCCCCAGTGTGTCAGAGAATGCCCACAGTCCTGCTGGCCAGTTTCCAGCCCGCCTTCACCAAACGGACCACACTTTACACTCCCATAAACATGCCTTTCTCCCTCTCATTAACAGAAGACCGTGATGATAATCGTAGCAATCAGCCCCAAATACAAACAGGATGTGGAAGGCGCTGAGTCGCAGCTGGACGAGGATGAGCATGGCTTACATACTAAGTACATTCATCGAATGGTGAGTGGGGAGGAGATCACAGCACCTCACTGTCCCCTGCGGATGGATACCTTGTCCAGGGAAGTCCCATTCTTCCCCAGAGACCAACTGAAGGCAGCATGATGCTGGGTGAAGAGCACCAGGCCTGCAGTGTCAGGAGAGGGGCTGTTGTTTCTGGCTCCATCTACCTTAGGGACTGTGGGCAAGGCACTGCACCTCTGGGACTCAGTTGTTCCTATCAGTTGCAAGGGGAGAGCAATCTGTGATCTCTAGGATCCAAGATTCTGGAAAGACGTGCTCTGCTGGCTTAGCTGTTTACCAGCAACTATGAAGTCCTACGAGGCGGGAGACAGGGCAGTGAGGAGGGCTGGCTCCTGCAGCTGTATCATGTTCTGTGCCCTACCTTTTCAGAAAGGCAGGTGGCGTAGTGAAAGGGACACCTGCTGTTGCATCACGTGGGCCTGGTTAAAGTTGGCTTCCTCACGTACAGGCTGTGTGATCATGGCTCCACTGCTTAAACTCTTTGTGCCTCAATGTCCCTATTCGCAAAATGGGTTGCTAATACTTACAGGGTTGTCGTGAAGATGAAATGAAATCATGTTTTCAAAATATCTGGTGCATATCAGATGCTCAAACAAGGGAAGGGAGTGTTCTTAGCTCATGACAGGTGGGGAACTATGGGGCCTGGTTATACTCAAATCAGTGGGAGACATTGATGATATTCAACTTGCTCAGCATGGGATCAAACTAGAACATTTGACCGAAACAATCACCCAGCTTTGGAACTGGCTGTCTTATGGGCTACCACTCCTCCTGCTCCCCGTGATCATAGAGACGCTGTGAAGACAGTTTCTGCTTGACTGGGATACATTGCTACACTTGTGATTTTTCAGGCTGTCCTGTGGAGTTCCCAATGGGTGTCCATACGTGCTGGAGGAGGGGCTGGGTCTGTGCCTCCCACCCCCACCTCAGCCAGAGCTGGTTCGTACTTCTCAGGCTTGTTAGTTGACCGAGGATTCTGAGATTTTAAAAGGCTTGGAAAATCACTGGACTAGAACTGATAAGCTCCATTTCAGCTCTAACACTCCATGAGGCGGAAGGCACCTGGAATGGGCATAGAGTGTCACTAAGACGGGAAGATGGGGAGGACACAGTCAGGCTGTCTCGGGGCACACAGCTTTATCTCAGGGGAAGCAGACATAGGTCCCAGGTCTGTCCTGTGGGTCAGCAGCGTGGGAAAGGAGCAGGGTGGGTGTTCCCATCTGAGTTTTCACGGTCTCTGTCTCCCTTTCCACCAAGTGCAGACCACTCATGTGAGCTCATACCCAAGCCGAAGGAAGAGCCGAGGCAAGGGGACGAGGTTAAAAAATGAGGCCAGGGAGTCAGGAGATAAGGCTCCCTCCTCTTCTGGTCTCAACCAGTCTCACAGCCCTTGTACAGTGCTCCGGAAAGGTATCATTTCTGGGAGTAAACTGCCTTAAAAGGTCCTGGCTGGCTCTGGGTGCTGCCGGCCCCTGGTTGTCTGATGCACGACTGCATGGCCTCAGAGCGCCCGATGTCCTGTCTGCATCTCTAGCAACCTGCCAGTCCCAGAAGCTGACAGCTGGTGCGTGGGAAGGGCTTGAGGCCTCAGCCAGTTCCTAAGGAAACCTGTCTAGCTCTGTGGGTGTGTGGTGTAGCCAGGCAGTAATACACAGCTTGGCCTCAGAGCTTGTCTGACTGTACCAACTGGAACCAGACTGTCTCCAAACTTGGTTTCTTGGGCCACAATGTCTTGGGCCCTTACTCATCACAGAAGGGGTCGAAGAGGTCAGATACAGAAGTGCCTTCCTGCCTGCCTGGCTGACTTCCTGGACCCCTCTAGGCAACAGAAAACCCTGGAACAATAAGAACTTGGCCATGACAGAGGTAGTGCAGAGGTACTGATGAGTAACTGCATCATAGAGTGAATTAGTTTACAGAAACTCAGTATCTGGAAGGATGAGAGAAAATAAAAATGCACTGCTGCTGGCTGGCCCCTCCACAGGCTGGGCAGCCTAGTGCACAAGCCAAACTTCACAGTATACGGAGTCCTTCACAGTATACAGAGTCCTTCACAGTATACGGAGTCCTAGAAGTCAGACAAAACTCAGCGCTTCACTTGTAACTAACTTATGTACTCCATCCCCTTCCTTTCCTGTGTACTTGGTGCTGGAGTGGTGGGTGCTTCTAGCTGCACAGTACTTGGGTCATTTTAAAATATGTTCTTGGTGTTATCTTCTGGTTTTTGGAGAGAGGTGATTCTGAGAACACACCCTGTGGAGGATTTGTGTGTGTTGTGTGATCGTGTATGTGTGTGTGTGTATGCGAGTATGTGAGTGTGTGTGTTTATGAGGGGTTTCCATGGTGATTTCAATAATGGCCATCACCACTGTCACTTTCTTCTCTGTTCTGTTATTTCCATGCACAATGAAAACTTCTCAGTTATAAAAATGAATTGGAAGATGAAATGGTTGGAAACACATAATTCCTCATCTCCTCCCCATCAGATGACCGAAAGCTTTGTGCTGGTCACAGGATTTGGAAGACTCTAACTCCTATTGAAAATTCTGATTTTTGAGAGAGCTCTTGGTAGCTAAATCCTCTTGGGCTACCGCAGTGTCAGAGCATATTGGAACTGGTGTGAGAAACCTAGAGCATGGCAGACGGAGCTCTTCACAGTTGACAGCCCCTCTCTGCCAAGCCCATCTTGTGCTCCAGCCACAGTGCATTAGTAGCTGGTCCCAACCACATCAACACACTTTCACACCTCCAGACATTTGCTCATGCTGTTGCTTCTGCTATGAAGGTCCTTCTCCTTGCCTCTATTCTCCCTACTTGACCAAACTATTTTCTTTCAGTGCCCAAATGAACCCTCTTTTGTAATTGTCCTTCCAGTCTCCGATGTAGAATGGATGGCCCCCACTCTGGGCTTCTGGAGCAGTTGTTCATACTTTTCACCCTGCACTTTGGTTGGTCATTTCCCTTTCTGCCTGCCCACTAGACTGCTGGCTTTGTGAAGATAGGGACTGTATCTGTGGTGTTCTGCTAAGCTGGCTCTCCTGATTTATAGCACTTACCTACTTCCATGGTATAAATACTCTCCAATACCATCGCCAGTTTCAAGCTATCAGTGTAAAGTCACTGAACACAGAATTAGGAAGAGATGCACACAACCAGCTTTTGTGAGCTGCTGCAAGCCAGTTCCAGCATACCCTGGAGGTGTATCCTAATCCTTCAAACCCAAAGTCGGACATAGAATGTGACTTCTAATAGGCCACCAATAATCGACTGATGAGTGAATGGAATAGATGTGTAATGGGGAGGCCTTAAAATGCTAAGTGTGTGGCACTCAAGTATGGAATCAGAAGAAAAATGCCATGGGACGTGCGTGATTATGGGTACCATTAACTCCTCATCCTCATTCCTGAAATTAAACCTTCACATTTGTTTGGTTTCAGATGCAGATTGAGTTCATAAAACAAGGAAGCATGAATTTCAGATTCATCCCTGTGCTCTTCCCAAATGCTAAGAAGGTAAACAAACAAAGAAACAAAATCCTCATAATTCAATCTTTGGTTTTCTTTGCCATCTGGGATTTTAAGTGGAAAACATTGTCCATTGTTTTTTTCTTTCTTTTCTTTTTTCTCTTTTTGATATGGAGTCTCGATGTGTTGCCCAGCCTGGAGTGCAATGGCACAACCTTGGCTCACTGCAACCTCTGCCTCCTGGGTTCAAGTGATTCTCCTTCTTCAGCTTCCCAAGTAGCTGGGATTACAGGTCCCCGCCATCACACCTGGCTAATTTTTGTATTTTTAGTAGAGATGGGGTTTCACCATGTTAGCCAGGCTGGTCTTGAACTCCTGACCTCAGGTGATCTGCCTGCCTCAGCCTCCCAAAGTGCTGGGATGACAGGCGTGAAACACCGTGTCTGCCGTCGATTCTTTATCAATCCTTAAAGATAACAATGTTACCAGAAAGCTCAACAAGTTGTACCACTCAGTTTAGCAGCATGAATCTGAAAGGTTTTAAAGCTATCTGATAGGATCACTGCTGTCCTAATTGTTCAAAGAACCACTGCACACAAAGTTTCTGTTGTAACTCGAGAGAAAAAGAGAAGGTTCATGTGATACTTCTTATCTCTTGTACATCAAAGTTAAGATGTGTATGGTTTTTGCTGGCTGTTCCAGGGAGGCATTTCACTGCACATAATTCAGCTCTCAAAGCTAATGATTATAGGAATTAAATCTACAGTTACCAGAGTGAACTTTGCTATGATTCATATGAGGCTTTTCACACCAGAAGGGTCTGCCAGTAAGTTTGGAGAATGAGGGCAAAACCATCTGAGGCCACATTCCAGGTTTGGCAAAGGGAAGGCGGTGGTGGAGTAAACATGCTGAGAATCAGACCACAGCACCCTCAACTCAGACCCTGTTTCACCTGGAGGGATCCTCAGATATCAAGACTGCACTGAGACCTCTGCCCTGGATGAGGGAGGCTCCAGTTTATGGGAATGGGACACTCAGGCTGTATGATGCACAGTCTGTACAATGGCACACCTTTCTATCCTCCCTGCGCTGCCTCTGCCCAGAGTTTCACTGCTCTCGCTTACCTTTGAGTCTCCTTACTGGTCTCATCTCCACTTTGACCTTGTGCTAGCCATCCTCTGCTCTGCCATCAAAGACGAACATCCAAAATGTAGGTCTGATCTATTTCTTGGTAGCTTAAAAATTGTGTGCTGTTTTCCCATTGACTACAAGATCATATCCACCTTTCTTAGCATGAGCTATGAGACCTCTCAGAAGAGGACTGTGTCCCCTTGCGTAGATCTCTCTCATCATTCTCTGTAGATGCTCTGTGCTCTGGTCACCCTGGACCACTTCAGCATGCTCTCACACATGCTGTGTTCTTTTGTATCTCTGTGCCTTTGCCTTTTCTGTTCCATCTGCTTGTGATGCCCTTCCCTAACTCGCCTGCCTAGTGAACTCTTACTTACCCTTATATCACCCAATCTCTCTAGCCTCCCCAACACCTCTTTTGCTTGTTTGTTTGTTTGTTTGTTTGTTTTGAGACGGGGTCTTGCTCTGTCCGCAGGCTGGAGTGCAGTGGTGTGATCTTGGCTCACTGCAACCTCCGCCTCCCGGATTCAAGCGATTCTCCTCTCACACAGCCTCTCAAGTAGCTGGGACTACAGGGACATGCCACTACGCCCAGCTAATTTTTGTGTTTTTCGTGGAGACAGGGTTTCACCATGTTGGACAGGATGGTCTCGTTCTCTTGACCTTGTGATCCACCCGCCTAGGCCTCCCAAAGTGTTTCTTTCTTTCTTTCTTTTTTTTTTTTTTGAGAAAGGGTCTTGCTCTGTCACCCAGGCTGGAGTGCAATGGTGCAATCTTGGCTCACTGCAACCTCCACCTCCCAGGTTCAAGCAATTCTCCTGCCTCAGCCTCCCAAGTAGCTGGGGTTATAGGCGCTCGCCACCATGCCTGGCTAATTTTTGTATGTTTAGTAGAGACAGGGTTTCACCATGTTGGCCAGGCTGGTCTTGGACTCCTGATCTCAGGTAATCCACTTTCCTTAGCCTCCCAAGTGCTGGGATTACAGGCGTGAGCCACTGCGCCCTGCCCTGACACCTCTTTATCTCCATGCTGATATATTTCATTGTCCTTTTCTTAAGAGCGCTTAATTCTAGCACCTTGGATCAATGGTATGTGTTTGGGTTGAGGGTACTGGGAATGATTGTTTAGAATTATTAGAGCATGGTGGTATAAAAAATAGACCAAATTTTCATTGGTTTTGTTATTATTTTTAAATGTCCTTCAGAGAATGCCCATATTGCCTGAGCTCAGCACAGGCCGCTCTCACCACCTGTCCCCTTGGTCCACTATTGACTAGAAAATCGTTTGTTGACATTTTGCTTTCATCCTAAGATTTGAAGTCCTCAAGGCAGTCCCTGCGTCCTTTTCATTTGGGCATCCTCAGTACTCAGCATGATGCCTGCCATGCAGCAGGTGCTGCTTCTAAGCACATCCTACAGTACCTAGAGGAGTCCCGCCCTATAGTCCCTGGGAGTTAGACTCAAAAGCAAAGGCCTTACCGAGGCCTACAGGGTGCTATCCGATACAGCCCCTTCTACTTCCTCCGCACGTACTCACTCTGCTCTACTCACTGTAGCCTTGTTGCTTGTGACCAGGCCCAACACACTCCCTCCACAGGGCCTTCACGCTGGCTCTTCTAGCTGCCTGGACCCAGACAACCACAGAGCTTGCTTCTTCCACTCTTTTAGGTCTTTGCTCCTTTTCTCAGTGAGACCTCTCCTAAGCACCCTATTTAAAACTGCAAATCTTTCACCCTTGCCCCAGCACTCCCTGTCCCCTTTCTTGTTTAATTCTTCTCCACAGCGTGCGTCACCGTTGAACACACTATCCATTTTACTTGTGATCTGCCTCTCCCCACCAGAATATCCACTCCATGAGGGCAGTCTGACACTGCACCCCCAGGATACCTGGCTAACAGTTTCTGCCTCTGCCTCATCACTGAGGTCTGATGGGCTCCCTCTACTGCAGGCCAGACCTGGGGCTGGAGTGAAAGGGCAATTAATTGATTTAAGCCTACAGCCCTGGCATACTTCTTCTGAAGTCACAGGGGAATTCACATTACTCTGTGTGACCTCTGTCCTACCCCTTTTATGTGAGGGTGGTGAAAAGCACGTTGAAATGCGAAGGGTAGGTAGCCTGGGAGACTGACAGAAAATGCTGTGCACATGTGGTTTTTATAATGAGATATACAGCTTGTACCCGGAGCCAAGAACATTTCACATGCTAAACCTTTCCAAAAGCAAAACAGCACAACTCCCAGGATAGTTTGGTAGGAAACGCCCATGTAGGGAAAGCCAGAAATATTTGGGAACGGAGCCTGGGATCTGGAATCCAGGTTTTTCTCTAATGACCTTTGCTCCTGTCATTCTGTCTCCCATAGGAGCATGTGCCCACCTGGCTTCAGAACACTCACGTCTACAGCTGGCCCAAGAATAAAAAAAACATCCTGCTGCGGCTGCTGAGAGAGGAAGAGTATGTGGCTCCTCCACGGGGGCCTCTGCCCACCCTTCAGGTGGTTCCCTTGTGACACTGTTCATCCCCAGATCACTGAGGCTAGGCCATGTTTGGGGCCCTGTTCTGACAGCATTCTAGCTGAGGCTGGTCGGTAGCACTCCTGGCTGGTGTTTTCTCTGTTCCTCCCCGAGAGGCCCTCTGGCCCCCAGGAAACCTGTTGTGCAGAGTTCTTCCCCGGAGACCTCCACATACCCTGGCTTTGAAGTAGAGTCTGCGGCTGCTCTGCATTCTCTGCTTTTAAAAAACCCATTGCAGGTGCCAGGGTCCCACATGTTCCTCCTGACAGTTTGATGTGTCCATTCTGGGCCGCTCAGTGCTTAGCAAGTAGATAATGCAAGGGATGTGGCAGCAAATGGAAATGACTACGAACACTCTCCTATCACTTCAGGCTACTTTTATGAGTTAGCCAGATGCTTGTATATCCTCAGACCAAACTGATTCATGTACAAATAATAAAATGTTTACTCTTTTGTAAGATTATGTTTTACTTATCTCAAAGGAGATAGATACATATAATTTATAATGATACGGTTGCTTCCAGGGACATCAACAAAACTGCTTAGATATAATATTAGATAAATATAACAGACCACTCTGTATTAAAGGATTAAAGCCAGCTAGTTAAACAACCCTTTTTAACCATAATCATAGAAGGTTTATTCTTGCAATAAAGACTTTTAGGCTGGGCGCAGTGGCTCACACCTGTAATCCCAGCACTTTCGGAAGCTGAGGCAGGCAGATCATTTGAGGTCAGGAGTTTGAGACCAGCCTGGCCACCATGTTGAAACCCCATCTCTGCTAAAAATACAAAAAAGTTAGCTGGGCATGATGGTGTGCACCTGTAATCCCAGCTACTTGGGAGGCTGAGGCAGGAGAATAGCTTGAACCTGGGAGGCAGAGGTTGCAGTGAGCCGAGATCATGCCACTGCACTCTAGCTTGGGAGACACAGCGAGACTCCGTCTCAAACAAACAAACAAAAACACCCATTTTTAACAAAACAACTTTATATAGCATATAACCATGATTCTAAATAGTATGATTATGGTTCTCAGGATCTGACTACATAGGTAAAAATATTTGCATATGTATATGAAGTGACAGGGAATGTAGGCTAGAATTATAGTCTGTGTTCTAATTTTGGTTCTACCACCAATTAGCTGTGTGACCTTTAGCAAGTCCTTTCACTTTTCTTAGATTCCAGGGACTCATTTATAAAATGACACGGACAAAAGAATCTCTAATCACTCTAAAAGATTTGAAGTCTAAATTCTAAATATTCTTTTGAGGAGTGACTGAGTTTTCATTTTCATAATTATGTCTTTCAGAGGATAAATTTACATTTTCTTAACAGAGACATTTTCTTCTTCTTTTTTTTTTTTTTTTGAGACAGTCTCACTCTGTAGTCCAAGCTGCAGTGCAGTGGTGCAATCTCGGCTCACTGCAACCTGCACCTCCTGGGTTCAAGTGATTCTTCTGCCTCAACCTTCCGAGTAGCTGGGCCTACAGGCGCCTGCCACCATGCCCGGCTAAGTTTTGTATTTTTAGTAGAGACGGGGTTTCATATTGGCCAGACCGGTCTCAAACTCCTGACCTTGTGATCCGCCCGCCTCAGCCTCCCAAAGTGCTGGGATTACAGGTGTGAGCCACTATGCCCAGCCAACATATTCCTCTTTTAAAAAATGTCTTCT